TTCTATTCTATTCTATTCTATTCTATTCTATTCTATTCTATTCTATTCTATTCTATTCTATTCTATTCTATATTCTATTCTTCTCTATATTCTACTCTACTCTACTCTACTCTACTCTACTCTACTCTACTCTACTCTACTCTATTCCATATTCTATTCCATTCCATTCCATTCCATTCTATTCCTAATTCTTATTCTTATTCTATTCTTTTCCTTATTGTATTGTATTGTATTGTATTGTATTGTATTGTATTGTATTGTACTGTACTGTATTGTATTGCATTCTATTCTATTCTGTTCTCTTCTGTTCTGTTCTGTTCCGTTCCGTTCCATTCCATCCCATCCCATCCCATCCTATCCTATCCCATTCCATTCCATTCCAGCCATGCCATGCCATGCCATTATTCTATCCTACTCTACTCTCTATTAAATGTTTTTATCTCAGGGTTAAAACGAGGGTTTCTTGGTGCTCTCTGAGCTTGTTTGTTTTCTTGCAGACATTTCATTACCCAACTAGGTAACATAATCTGTGCTAGAAGGGAGTGGGGTCTCCACTCCACTCATCTGGTAATATATAGTACCAGCACCCCATTCCTCCCCTTTCCAAATCAATTTAAACCCCTCCAAACCCATTAAAAGTAAATCATTTCAATTTCTTCCCAAATGTTTTTTTCCCCCTGACCCTGATTCTAAAAAAAAAAAAAAAAGGCAAATGATGATTGAGGGATTCTGGGAGTTGAGGACCACCCATCTTAAAGTTGCTAAGGTAGAGAAACACCCGTCTGGCAGATATTGAATATTAGGGGGAAAGACTTTTGACAAATTTGAATGGAAAAAAACAATGGAACAGCGGAAGTGATGCTAAGTGCCTAAGTGTGCCAGCATCTGGAATGGTGATATATCATGTGCATTTATGAGAATCTTGGACATGTTTGCAAGTTTCAGATTCTTTCAAAAGCAATAACAAACAAAGGAAATTTGGCACTCAATTTGGAAGAGATTAACCGAGAACAGTTGTGTTAGAGTTCTAAGTTATTCTAACTTATACCATACAGTTGTTATTACATGCTAAACACAGCATGTAGATCCAAGTTGCCTTTAAGATATAAACAGGAATTAACAGCACCACACAACAACAGAGTTGGAAGGGACCTTGGAGGTCTTCTAGTCCAACCCCCTGTACCAGTTGTGGCTAACCTTTTTGGGCTCCTGTGCCGAAAATTGTGTGCGCGCTCATGTGCACTTGTGCGTGTGCCAGCACCCAGGAGGCAATGCGCGCGGGGCTCCCCCATTACCTGCATTGCGCATGCGCGTGCCTCCCAGTTGATTTTCGGGCCTTTTTTGGCCTCCCAGAGTCTCGAAACCGCTGCAGCCTTTGGAGGCCAAAAAATGGGCCCGTTTTGTCACTTCTGGTACTTCCGGAAATACCGGAAGTGATGAAACAGGCCTGTTTTTCGGCCTCTAAAGGCTGCAGAAGCTTCCCTCGAGCCTCCTGGAGGCTGAAAAAGGCCCCAAAACTCAGCTGGGAGGCACGCGCATGCGCAGTGAGGTAAGTTTGCCTGGGGCTCGCATGCCCGCACAAATGGCTCTGCGTGCCACCTGTGGCACGCGTGTCATAGGTTCCCCCTCACGGCCCTATACCATTTCAGACAAATGATTGCCCAGTCTCTTCTTAAAAGCCTCCCATCTTGGAGCAACACAATCTATGGAGAGAAGCCGTTCCACTGATCGATTATTTTAATTAACAGGAAATTTCTCTTTAATTCCAGATTGTTTCTCTCCTTGATTTGTTTCCATCCGTTGCTTCTTGTCCTGCCCTCTGGTGCTTTGGAGAATAGCTTGACTCCCTCTTCTTTGGGGCAGCCCTTCAAGTATTGGAAGACTGCTATCATGTCACCCCACTGGTCCTTCCTTTCACTAGACTAGACATACCCAGTTTCTGCATCCATTCTTCATATGTTTTAACCTGGGGTGGGATTCTACCAGTTCGGACCAGTTCTATAGAACCGGTTGTTACAATTCTGTGCAGTTCGGAGAACTGGCCAATCGCACCACTGGCTGGCTCCTCCCCTCCCCACCCAGGAAGGTTTCCTAAGGCCCAGTCAAGGGTGGTATTCAGGGGTTGGGGGAGGGAGAAGTGGCCTGAGAGCAGAGCTGAACCTTGCTTAGAATTTTCAGTGCAGACTCAGGCAGCAGATTGCAGAAAGGTAGATCTCTGAGTGACTCTGTGATTCTGCAAGCAGCTCAATCTGCCTGCCTGCTTTGCCTGATTTTGGGTAAAAGTTGCTCTTTTTAAAAAAATAAAAAATTCAATCTTTACATATATATTTACAATATTTATATACAAGCCACGCCCAGCCAGTCACATGACCACCAAGCCACACCCACCAATTAGGCCACACCCACAGAACCGGTTGTTAAATATTTGAATCCCACCCCTGGTTTTAGCCTCCCGTCCCCTAATCATCTTGGCTGCTCTTCGCTGCACTCTTTCTAGAGTCTCAATCATCTTTTTTTTACATCATGGAGACCAAAACATTAATTAAAGCTTCACATCATCCCATATGTATTAATAGCTTCCACTATGCACAAATGTCCATCACATGCAACTCGTTTGTGAATGTCTACTATCAGTTGGAAATTATCTTTGGCTATAATCTGCATTTTTGCAATTTCTGCATCCCCCCGTTGATAAATGCATTCCCTACTGATCATAAAACTCCACGAGTTTCATCAATATAAAAAGAAATCCTATTTTTATTTTAATTTTTAAAAATGCCAACCTATTTTTTAAAAAATTACTCCTATATTAAGGCAGACACTTTCTGCAAACTGTTAAATTTGTGAGCGTATGTGTGATATCCATCTGTATCCATCCAGCTGCATTACAATACAACATAGGCGCTGTGTAACTGAGTGCATAACAGGCTAAAGACACAAAAATGCTAACCGAGTTTAGCAGGTTGTGTGAACGGAAACACTAGCCTGGGTAGCCATGATTCCAACACTGCTTAGCAAATTTACAGTACAAGAGTATTTACAGTACAAGAGAGAAGTATTTACATTCTTAATAATCACTATTGAAATTAAAATGGCTTCATGGTTTAATTCTGAGCATAATTTCCTACATGCTAGGAGCACTCGCACATGACACAGTGCACAAATTTTGTAAAAATGGTTGTGTGCAACTTTTAAGAAGCTGTTCCATCTATCTGCTTGTTCCAAATGGAGAGTGACTTTTCAAGAACAATTTCTTCACTAAATAATAATCACACATTAGATTTTGCTATGGACACTTATGAAGATGTCCTTGGTTAACCAGACGTCAAGCAGCTGCTTACAAATGGACAACTATAGGTAGTCCTTGACTTACAACTGATTGTTTAGTTACGAGTTACAACAGTTCAATGTTATGATGGCACTGAAAAATGTGATTTATGACCGTTTTTCATAAACAGCATCCCTATGATCATGTGATCAAAATTCAGATGCTTGGCAATTGACTCATATTTATGACCGTTGCCCGGGGTACTTATGATCCCCTTTTGTGACCTTCTGACAAGGTCAGAAGATCAATGGGGGAGCCAGATTCACTTAACGACCGTGTTACTAATTTAACAACTGCATTGATTCCCTTAACGATGGTGGCAAGACAGGTCGTAAAATGGGGAAGAGCTCGTTTAACAAATGTCTCCTTAACAGAAACGTTGGGCTCAATTGTCGTACGTCAAGGCTGAGAGAAATACAGGTAGTCCTCAAGTTACGATGATTCACTTAGTGACTGGTTTGAAGTTACAACATGACTGAAAAAAGGGATTTCTGACCGGGTTTCACACTTGTGACTATTGCAGCATCTCCATGGTCACAGGATTAAAAATTCAGACCCTTGGCAACGGGTTCATATTTACGACGGTGGCCCGGGGTCCCTTTTGCAACCTTCTGACAAGCAAAGTGTCAACTCATAAAATATTTCTATGGTCTTTTTAGAGTTGCCAACAAAAAGGGAGGGAGAAGCAGTGCAACAGCTTGCAAAACCGAAACTGCACTCCATAAATGTTTTCATAGATAGTTTCCAGGCGACTGAAGTTTCTGCCACACAAAATTCTAACTGGAGAGCATGATTGATGACTCTTGGCTATGGATGTGTCCCATTGGAGAATATGAATTATGATACACCCAGGGGGTGGGGGGAAAACCAGGGTCAAGGGTGACAATGAATGATGTGTCTCAGAGTAGGCTACACCCAGGCAGCACCGGCATATCTACTCCTAATAAAGCTTTGAAAATCCGGCTAAGAGACGCATGATTTAAATGGGGGTAACTACCAGAGCCCTGACAGCTAGCCAGCCGACTCTGAGACACATCATTCATTGTCACCCTTGACCCTGGTTTTCCCCCGCCCCCTGTGTGTAACATAATTCATATTCTCCTAAAGGGAAGCCAGATTCAGTAAACAACTTCATTGATTTATTTAACAACTGTGGCAAGAAAGGTGATAAAAACGAGGCAAAAATCCCTTAAACCAGGGGTCCCCAACCACCGGTCCACGGACCGGTACCGGTCCGCGGAACAAGTCCTACCGGGCCGCTGGTTGCTGGGCGCCGCCATCTTTTTTTGATGAAAAAGTGCTTCCGGTGAGCTTTTCCGGGTAGAAAGCTCACCGGAAGCACTTTTTCATCAAAAAAAGATGGTGGCGCCCAGCTGATGCCGGTACCGGGCCGCGGCGCCCAGCTGATGCCGGTACCGGGCCGCGGCATAAAAAAGGTTGGGGATCACTGCCTTAAACAACAGAGATTTGGCCTCAATTGTGGTCATAATTCAAGGACTACGTGTATTTTTAAAGTGTGTTTCCTTCTGCGCGACGAAGCCCAATTCAAACCCAAAAGTTCTCTGTAGAGGAAGAGCCAAATTTCCTCGGAGGACAGCAAGGATGTTTTCCCTGTCTTCAGAGGGTGTTTTCCACCAAGGGGCTAGTCCCCGTGTCAAAAAGATGGGAGGCCAAATAGTCTGCGTAGTCCCCGTCGATGAGTTTCTCGGCGTTGTGTTTGGCAAACCAGCAATCCACTTCCTGTTGGCCGTTGTAGATCTTTCTCTGCTTCCACACCACGGGCACCAAACGCCCTTTCAACTGGAGGGCGTGCCCCGAGTTCGAGTTGGTTTTGTGGCAGTCATCCGGGCTACACTTTTCGGAGAACGGCTCAGTCAAGAGCTCAATGTCTTGGTGCAAGAACTGGCCTGCAAAATTAAAAAAAAAAAAAAAAAAGTTGTGAGCAAGTAAATGAATGAGACTCCAGGAAGCTCTCAGATTATGATTAAACCGAGACCAGGATTTCCGTTGCTAAAGCCAGGCGATAGTTTAGTGAGTGGCGCAGTGGTGGGATTCAATATTTTTTACTGCCGGTTCTGTGGGCGGGGCGTGGTGGGCGTGGTGTGACTTGGTGGGCGTGGCTTGGTGGGCGTGGCTTGGTGGATGTGGCAGGGGAAGGATATACTGCAAAATCCCCATTCCCTCCCCGCCCCACTAACCTGCTTTCCAGCTCTGTTCTCCTGGGCAGGGCAACCAAAGAAGACCCAGCCAATCAGCTGGGACTCAAAGGGAGGCAGAGAAGACATGGGGGCGGGGCCAGTCTGAGGTGATATTTGCCAGTTCTCCAAACTACTCAAAATTTCTGCTACCGGTTCTCCAGAACTGGTCAGAACCTGCTGAATATCACCTCTGGAGTGGTGCCCAATTTTATGAGTTTTTTATGTCATGGTTGTTAAGCAAATCACTGCATTGTTAAGTGAATCAGGTGGTGGTTAGGTGAATCTGGCTTCCTCCACTGACTTGATTTGTTGGAAACTGACTAGGAAGATTGCAAATGGCAAATTTTGAAAGAAAAAAAAAGAACATTTAAGATGATTGGGGGCTGGAGGTTAAAATGTATGAAAAATGGTTGTGGGAATTGGGTATGGCCCATCTAGAGAAAAGAAGGACTAGGTGTGATTAGTATTTGAGGGGCTGCCTCAAAGAGGAGGGGGTTCAATTTATTTTCCAAAGCACCTGAAGACAAGACAAGAACCAATGGATGGAAACTAATCAAGGAGAGAAGCAACCTGGAATTAAGGAGAAACTTGCTAACAGTGAGGACAATTAACCAGTGAAACAGCTTGCCTTCAGAAATCAACCAACCAATCAATCAGAAAATAGCTGGAAGGGACCTTGGAGGTCTTCTAGCCCAGCCCCCTATACCATTTCAGACAAGTGGCTGTCCAGTCTCTTCTTAAAAACCTCCAATGATGAAGCATCCACAACTTCTGGAGGCAGGCTGATTCACTGGTTAATTGTTCTCACTGTTAGCAAGTTTCTTGGATGCTTCATCACTGGAGGGGGCTGGGCTAGAAGACCTCCAAGGTCCCTTCCAGCTATATTCTGATTGATTGATTATGTGACTGTGGGAAGCTGCAAGGGTTGCAAATACATGCTGGTTGCCAAACACCCACATTCTGATCATGTGCAGAGGTGGGTATTCAGCCAGTGCTGACAGGTTCTGGAGAACCGGAAGCGGAAATTTGGAGTAGTTCAGAGAACCGGGAAATCCCGCCTCTGACTGGCCCTGCCCCCACCTATTCTCTGCCTCCCGAGTCTTTGCTGATTGCCTGGGTCTTCTTTGGTTGCCCTGCACACAGGAGAACAGAGCTGTAAAGCAGGTTAGTGGGGTGGAGAGGGAATGGGGATTTTGCAGTAACCTTCTCCGCCACACCCACCAAGCCAGGACCACAGAACTGCTAAGTAAAAAAAAACGAATACCACCACTGATTATATGGCAGCATCCCAGGGTCTTACGTTCATTATGTGCGACCTTCCCAGTTGGTTTCTGACAAGCCAAGTCAATGGGGGAAACTGGATTGGCTCAAGAACACATTATCCACTTCACGAGTGCAGTGATTTGCTTACTAACCGTGGGGGTGGGGGAAATGCCATAAAGTTGGGCACCATTCACTTAACCACTTCCTTACTTAGCAACTCAAAAATTCTGGCTCCCCCATGGGGAATCTTCTGTTCCAGAAATGAGCAACGCATGTCAGGATTCCGGCAGTTACGCCACTTAAATCATGAGTCTCGAGCCAAACTTCCAAAACTTCAAAAGGATTTATTGGGAGTGAACATGTCCGGCACTGCCTGGGTGTAGCCAACTCTGAGACACATCATTCATTGTCATCCTTGACCCTAGTTTTCCCCCACCCCCTGGGGGTATCATAATTCATATTCTCCAATGGGACACATCCATAGCCCAAAGTTATCAATCATGCTTTCCAGTTAGATATTTGCACGGCAGAAACTTCAGTCACCTAGTTACTATCTTTGAAAACATTTATGGAATGCACTTTCGGTTGCAAGCTATCACACTGCTCCCTCCTACCTTTCTGTTGGCAACTCTAAAATACCATAGAATTATTTTTTGAGTTATGACAACATGGCTGTGAGGTGAATCTGGATCCCCTGTTGACTTTGCTTGTCTGAACGTTGCAAAAGGGAATCACATCACATACACACACACACACACACACACACACCAAGACACCCCAATCGTCATAAGTATGAACTGAGCATTGGAATTTTGATCGCACGATCATGGGGATGTTGCAAAAGTCGTAACTGTGGAAAAGGGTCATCCGTCACTTTTTTTCAGTGCCGTTGTAACTTTGGTCGCTAAAAGTGAACTGTTGTAAGCAGGGGTGGGATTCTACAGGTTCGCACCTATTCGCTAGAACCGGTTGTTAATGTTCTAAGCAGTTCGGAGAACTGGTTGTTAGAAGAAATTACTGGACTAATCCTGTAAGGAAGGCAGGAAGGAAACATTCTGGTGTTGCTTACAGAAACTGCATCTCCGTTAACCCTTATTACATTCTTGGCAGGACTAGACTTCCTGTCTCAGGAACTTCTCTGGAGTTATTTTTCCCTTACTTTGCTGGTATTTTGCTTGTGTGGAGTGACCATTCAAAGTTACAATGGCACTGGAAAAAGTGACTTATGACCATTTTTCACACTTACGACTTGCAGCATCCCCACAGTCATGAGAGGCCAGGCGAGGAGATGCGTGGCACGATGTGAGTGATATTGAGTTGGCCACGCGCTGCCAACAACATGACCACCAAGCCATGTCCACCCTGCCACATGACCAACAAGCCACGCCTACCACCTAAGCCACGCCCACAGAACTGGTTGTTAAAATTTTTGAATCCCACCCCTGGTTGTAAGTCGAGGACTACCTGTACTCAGGACGGCGCCTCTCAGAATCCACAGGGAAGATAGATGTCTCTCTGCACACAATCTTAGAAACTGAGAGATCTCTCCAGGCTGCTGTGGGTTCGCGTGGGTTCAGGTGAACCTCCAGCCAGGATTCTGCGGAGTTCGGTGAACCTGCAAATCCCACTCGTGGCTGGCCCTGTCCACCCTATTCCTCCCCTCCCAGGAGTCTCTACATGGCCCATTTTGGATCTCAGGTAAGTACAGGGCCCACATAGAGGCTCAGAGAGGGCAAAAAACAAACTTCTGGAAGGCCAGAAACAGGCCTGTTTCTGGCTGTTAGGGATAACATTGGTTACCTAACTTAGTTTGGATAAAAATAATATATATAAACTATGTTAGTGAGTTTAAGTGTATGTATCACTTTAAACTGTAAACCAAGTTTTTGGGTGCGGTTGTAAAATCACCATAAGAGGGAGCAAGAGAGCTCACTGTTTGCCTGGCTTATACTGGAATGCTGACAATGATGAATTAATGGTGATAACTGCGTGTTTGCTGAGAGAAGAAAAGGGGTTTGATTTTTCTTCATATCTCTGACTGCAAAAGAGATATATCACTGGACTGATTGATTGTAAGTTTAATGAACTCTTTTTCGACACTGGACTTTGCAAACTGAATAACCCCCGGACTGACTGAACTTAGTGTATGACATATGGACCGTTTTGACTATGCTATAACTCTTGCTGGAATAAAAACTATTTAACTTGCACAGTGTATCTGTCTTACTGAGTGTAAGCTACTACAACGTTTTGTCTCACATATCTGCCTGCCTGCTAGACTGCCGTTGCACGTTCTGCTAGGGTGTATATCCCTAACACTGGCCTTCAGAGGCCTCCGGAGCCCAGAGGAGGCTGTTTTCGCGCCCCCTGGGGGCTCAATAAAAGCCTCCGGAGCCTGAAGAGGGCAAAAAACAGGCCTCCCGGAAGTTCCGGTAGGCCACGCCCGCCATGGCCACGCCCACTCAGAAACTGGGCAGAGAACCGGTTGCTAAAATTTTTGAAGACCACCCCTGGATCTCTTCCTTACCTATCAGCCCATGGGAACCTCTTGAAAGTCCTTGACCATTAGAGATGTAGAAACCCAAATGGTTCTTCTGATACCGGGCAGGGTTCTTGTAGTGGTGGATCAGAATGACGAAGCTGATGGAATCTTGTAGGACCACCGTGACATTGGCGTGGGCCACAATGGACACGTGGAACTTCTTGCCTACCACCACGGCGTTGCGGTCACAGGGAAAGACCAGCCTCTTCTCATCATCCAAGATGACCTTAGTGGTAGAAATTTCCAGGTAGGATCTTCCCGGTTTGTTGATGAGAATTGTGATGCTCTTGAAGTACGTCCGGTGTTTCTTATGACCGTTCCGTGGGGCAGGGGCCCCAATTAGCTGGCCGTTGACAGTCACTCCTAAGGGACAAGTGAAGATATAAAGAGTTTGATTTAGTGGTTAAGGCACCAGGCTAGAAAGCAAGAGATTTTGAGTTCAAGTCCTGCCTTAGGCATGGAAGTCAACCGGGTGACTTTGGGCCAATCATCGGGAAATGGTGAGTTCTAGTCCCGCCTTAGCTTTGAAAGTCAGCTGGGTGATCTTGAGCGAATCATCAGGAGACAATGAGTTCTAGTCCCGCCTCAGCCATGGAAGCCGACTGGAAGACTTTGGGCCAATCACCAGGAGATGAAGAGTTCTAGCCTTGCCTTCGGCATGAAAGCCAACTGGGTGACTTTGAGCCAATCACCAGGAGACTG